TTTGTCCTGGAGTTTAGACTTTGGACGAACTCGGACGATCAAAGTGATGTTTGTTGTGATTTGAAGGCACTTTTGGGTAGATGGATATTGCGATGATGAAAGGTTGGAGTCGGTTGAGCTGGGTTTAAAACGATTGTGATTGTCGAGTGAAGGCCTGGGATCTAGAGAAAACTGGTCCCTGGTTTGATGGTCAAAGTGATATTGTTTGTTGAGAACGTTTTCGACTAGATTCATATCTTGGAGTCTCAACCATATGGGAACTATTGCTGCTCTAGTCAAGAAAGGATACGAATTATAAATTATAATCACGGGAGTTTGGAAAAGTTGGTGTCTGTTTCGCTACGTGTCAGCGGAGGTTTGAAACGATTCCGACTCGAGTGCTATTGTTTGTTGTGGTTGTTCGGGACTTGCTATCTTCTGAAAAAGATCGAGGAAGTCAGCATGCGTTCAACGAAATTGATTAATCCCGAGAGAAAAAAGAACCTAGTCTGCCAAATAAAACAAGTCTCCGTCGCCATTTTCCGGCCACGCGGATGACAACACCTCGAAGAAGAATATCTTGCAGCCCTAACTACGTCTCCGCTACGATCGCCATGAAACTCGCTTCACCGGAATCCCCGAGGACTCCGAGGAAAATAGAGAAAGCGGTTAATGGAAGGACGGACGAAGATGATCACCGGGAAATTCCCGCGGAACTTACCTAAAGAAAACCAGCTGCCAAAGTAGACTCGGGTTTAAACGAGGGACGTGGGTCGATCAGTATCGACAGGAAGGATTGAAAATCCCTTTCAGCCGTGTGTCTTCGGCATCCCTTCCACGCCTCGGGAAGAATTCTTCGCGCTGTTAATCAAACTGCCACCGAAGGAGGAAGCTTCTTTAGGAAATTTACGACGGTCTTGGGCTTCTAATTCTAAGATTAGGCGGTCAGTCGCGCTGGTTAGCCTTTTTTCCTGCCGGTGGAACCCCGACGAATCCCTGGTTTCGTGGACAAATGGACGCGTCGCTGCGCTGTAAATCGCCTAACCAGGACTCTTCCGTGTAGTGGAGTATTTGACGCCGAGACGCTTCGAGCCGGAGGATCGACGCGTTTCCTAATTACGTGGTTACCGTGGATCGAGGTAAATCGAGTCCAGAGGAGAAAGTCGAAGCGTTGGACTCGATGAAGATGTTATTCGAGGTTCATGGTGTTAGTAAAGGCTAGGCGATGAGTTCGGGGCGCTTTACAGGTGCGGTGTTTTTGTTGTTGGGATGTTACGAGCGCTGTTAAATGTTGAGAATGTTGACTCGGTGGACTACAGTGAACCTTGATCGTCGGGTTAGGGACGAGTGTACAATCGACTAGCGGTAAGCGACGAATCCGTTGATTGGTAACGTATTGGTAGTTCGTTGTTTTCGTCTGCGTGCGGACTGGTGAACGAGAGAGGAGTCTGGGGTTGTTTGGTAGGTCGGGGATCTTGTGCGAGGGATGACAATAATTTGTGCAGTTCTGACCGAACTGCGTTTCTGTTGTAAATTATTTGGTCTGTAAATTAAAGTACATCTTGTTAATTTAATTTGGTTCGTAATTGTTAAAATCCCTCTCAACTCGAGTCTCGTAAAAATATAAACTAATTGTGTGCTCCGTCTAACCCGATATATGTATTTATAGTTAGCGTTGGATTAATTTCCCTTACTGCACGATTGAAATTCTTCTTTCCCTGCGAGTACCATTTTTAAATTACAGCAGACGTCTGTTCCTAAACAACATATGACTCGGTCTAAATATTTAATACGAACTACTTTCTGTTGTTTCCATTCTCCGAAAGGGATGAAATTCTCTTTCTCCTCGTTTCTGCCTCGTAATTAATCATTCGCCGGTCCGCACGCAGCTTTAGAGATGTTAATCGATAAGGGTGTTTCGAGTCATTCTTCGATATTAACTATCGATAAAAGTAGCATAAGTTTGTTCGGTATTTAAACTCCAGCTGACGACGGAAATTCCTTAGAATCGCACCCCTCTCCCCCCCCCCGCCGCCACCGCCGCCGCCGCCGCCGTCGCCGTCTCCTCCACCACCCCATGCGGAAGTCCGACGAAATTCGAGGAAAATTGCGTGGCTCCGAGAGATCGAGTTCGGTTCTCGATTCATTGTCCGCCGTCTCCCGCGAAACGATTCCACCGCTGCGATGCATTTTTTTGCGCTCAGGCTGACGTTGAATTGTCGAGGATATCGACGGCTGACGTGAATTCCCATTTCACTTGGAGACGAGCGTGACTCTGTGTTCAATTTACGATTTTTAATACAGGCATGCGTCAACCCTTCGCGTTTCAGACAGCCCGGGGACTATTTGAATATCGTTACTTGATTATTCTTATTTCGATACTGTTACTTGAATATTCTTATTTAAATATTCGTGTTCCAATATTATTATTTGAACGTTTCTATTTGAATACGCTTACTTGAATATTCTTATGCGAAATATTATTATTATTCTCTATTCTTAATTAACAGGAATTTAATTTAATTTCTTCTGACCTCACCTAGCGCAATTCTTTTAATTATCTCGCGACCCATTGGGTGCGTTGTAACTTGTACATACGTTTCTAGCCCAGCCTTCCCCGTTTTAACAGGAATTCGATGGTGTCAACGAGTTTATGTGAAACGCGACTTTTGTCTCAAATAATTCGTCTATTTTCATCGTTTACAAATGTCTAGTGCCAACTCGAGCGTAATCTAGACGAGTTGTTTGTTACTTATGAATTGTGTTTATGTGAGAAAGAAGAACGATAGATTATTTTACAAAATATATCGTTTACAAGGATATATCGTCCTCGGTGTCGAGTAAAAAAATAAACTCGACGCGACGAGGAAAAATTTAACGGCGGAATTTAATGAAGCTGAATGCCAGGAGAAAATTTCCAGAACTGCCATAAACGGGGCACGTTCGCGTGTACACGAGCCTGAACGTGTCCGTCATTTTAAACGCGACCTTAGTACCCTTTCGAAGGCTCTAATCGCGCATCCTGCGTCAGTCTTTTTCCTCCACGGTGGAAAATAAACGGGATCCGATGACACGCTCCCCCGCACCCTCTTGTATTTACAAAGCCGCACCCCTAATTCTAAGCTAAAGGTATCTTTTCTATCAGCTCGCCAGTCATTCTCGTCCCGATCACCTCCACGAGGTCTCTGCCGAACGATGTTTGCACCATAATTGGTCCAACAAAATGCAACAAATATTAACGAAATTCTTCTACGAACAATTTTATTACTTGTAATTTTAATATTGTACCGAATATTTTTACATTTCTGTTCAGATATTATATTTTTTTAACAGTTTTACTTGAATATTCCTATTTGGATACGAGTAGAAATAATTTCATTGGTAATTATATAAATTTAGTATCGTTTATAAAAAAACAGTCGCGTTCCTTATCGAATATCTTCGTTGTACCTACCCTCCAGAAATTTATCGTTCCATCGTTGCCCGACCAATTATCGTCCAACACTCTCCACTGGAAAATAGAAACAATGAGTATTGCAAAAATAAAAAAAAAATCCGATCTCTTTTCTCCCTAAGTAGAATCTAACGCCTGTCGAGGGTTGAGAAATGCTGTCAAAGGATCACTTTCACTTGGATTCCTTTCGCGAGACTTCAAAGGACGAAACGCAGATTTCCGGGTGCCTCGAGACGCGCAATCGAGTCGAGGAAACTTTTTGGGTGAAAATTTTGTTCTCCGGGTTTCGAGTCGAGGAGCTGAAAATGTTAAGAAGGAATCCAAGTTTCTCAGGCAATCGAGCAATTTTCGTGGAATTGCGAGAGTTTTCCAGGAGACCCCTTTGTTTGCATCGCGACGAAGCATTAACGATGCAGCAAAAAGGGATACATTTATTGTTATATATATATATGTATATGTAGAAACTATTCGATAGCGGATCGTAGAGCCGAATCGTGCTCAGGATCTCCACAAATTCCCATGAAAATGATACAGTTATTTATTAAAAAATAACAATTTCTCGTAATGTAAACAAAAGTATGATATCGGCTGCTAACATTTTTCATACGTCGTCTAAAACAAACATTTTTTTAGCAATTTCAAATTCTTTTGTCCTTGTTGTTTATGGATTAACCAAAGGAATTTACGAAACGGTAGAGTCCGCTCGAAATAAAACGATACTTCGTCGAAGGACTCGACGTATTTTTCCTAAAGAACAATGTTGGGTCGAATAGCTTAATCGATCGGAAGGTAAACGTTTAATTGGCGTTTTGCGGATAATTTGTGGGGAATCTGTGCAAATAAAGGATGTGTTCTCCCCGGCAGTTTAGTCGACGATTGTACCTACTTGTTTACCGATATTATACACACGAGGCGAACTGGCTGTGATTATGTTAGTGTTACTGACTACGTCGACACGGTTAATAATAACGATGATACGATCTGTAAATAGTACCGACAATTGAATATAAATACGATTATATACACTGTGATTCGGTCACGGGCATATAAACGAAGAGCCGTCACCCTTCTCCCCTCTCCCCCATTGTGTATCGGAACAATCGATTGCCTGCAATAAAGTCGAAATCGTACCGCGGGTTCCCGTAATCCAGGCGTCTTTTATCTGGCAAAACCCCGTTCGATTTCAGTTGTTGTACGAACGATCGTCATCCACCATTGTCGAATCAATTAACCTTCCATGGTTGCATTAATCGAATGAAGGATTCAAGGACGACACGTTACAGTGAATCTCGATTCTGGATTGTCGTCTAATTATTATCCGGTTTATATTTTCTAGAATATTTATTTTATGAAAGCGTCCTAGATCAATTTCTTATTTTACACGAAGGTTGCAAGGAGTTGGATTATTTCAGTATTCGTCGTTTTTTCTGTTGAAACTTTACCAGTTTATACTAATTTGGTATTCGGTTTGCGTACCGATTTGACTTTACGAGTACTATGTATTTTATGGAGAAAGAAAAATCAGACCCGGAAGTGATTCTGGCCGATATTGGTCAGACATCTCAGTAAGGCGTCCTCCCGTCTGACTATCGAGGGTGTATTCTACTTAGTCGCTGCAGTACACGTCAACGCCGTATGTTCCAAGGAGTCGAATCTTGTGTGTAATATATTATGAGACAAATTATGGATATTTTCATTCAGTGTGACGTTATTATGATATATTTATACCTCTACTTCTACAATATTCGTACCTCTAAGTCCCCGAACGTGCCCGAAGAATATCAATATAATATACGTAGCGCTTCGTTCTGATCAGAGGTGGGCAGAACTTTCTTCGAATATTAAACAACAATTCTAAATTCTATCCTACAGCAATTATTCCCAAAGTTCGACATAAATAACAAAATATGTACATAACTCACATCGAAACTTGCATCGACCAAGAGGCTGACGAAGAAAAATAAAAACGTGATATCTCTCCCTAGCTATTCCGATTTTATTTTACATTTAGGCACTTTCGCCCACCTCTGCCTTCGTTTTCACCGAAATTTGTACACGTCGAACGCCGGTTCTCGGCTCTTTTCACCTTTCAGGACGGGGAGGGACGACGCGAAAGGGGTAACAACGTGAATTCCGTAAACGTTTATTACGACGAACATAAAACGTATAGTACAAGCCTCTGTGCGGCATTCAGAGCGAATTTACGGCCTTGCCACGCGATACAGAAACGACTGTGCGCTTTTCCGTCATCCCTTCCAATGCGATTCAAGCGTGCCTTTAATTCTTAAACGGAGGAGAAAAAACATTACGGGAAGAACGAGAGGAGTACTTGCAGAGAGAGAAGATCGAACGCGTCCGAGGCGAGGGATTCGTTCCCACTCGTTGCCACGCGTCTGATACTATAGTCTTGATCGATTACATCAATTACTGGCTACTCTTACGATCTACGATCACGCTGCTGACGACGGTAAGTGAAACTCTCGGTTTGCTTTCGTCCTTGAGCGACAATGAAACTTAGCGGTATCTTAAGGCTCCTATTCGATACGAATTCTAGAACAACGATAGTCGTGGCGAGCTCGTCGAGAAATGCTTCGCAGGCCTGACCAATTTTTAATAATAATTCTAAGATAAAAGATGAAAGAATTTGAAATGGAAGAATTTAATATGGGTCACAGGTAAACTATTTTGCCAGTTATTTTGAGTTATGCTAAGAACAAAATTTTATAAAATTTAGGGCTGCATTCTACGTGTAAAAATAGAGAAAAAAGTCCTGGGGAACGAAGGTCCATGCGCGATTGATTTTCGAGTTACAAATGATTGAAGTCGGAGCGCGGACTCTTTGGCGCAACGCTATCATGAATGTCTCCCCTAAGGCGTTGCGAGTAGCACCGAAATTTCGGACACCTGTATCTCCGAAAGGAATGTTTTTGGGGGAGATATTTGTTAGGACTTTTTCGTTCCATTTAGAGCGTAGAATATTCATCGATTTTTGTACATTCTGTTATTGTATCATACGAATATAGTACTCCAATTTCTACGATCCACATCGTCCTACTTTAATATGTAGAACGCAGAAAATATAATGTATGCATTGGCCCAGAGAGATCAGCAAGCTAAACAACGTAATCTAATTCAATAAACAGAACAAACTTTTCATCTATGTACCTTGGGCCAAAAGTTTCCTTTATTTCGAAAGCGAAACCCTTTAAGAGAGCTTGGAAACTATCGTTCCGAGCGATCTCACTTATAAAGGCCACCATCTCTAGAAATACGGTGCATAAACGTAGATATCGGCGGAAAGCCCGCATAAAGGTTCGAGACTCGGAGGCAAGCAAACCTGTTATGGTTCTCGAATCGCTCTGCGCGACTTTCGCGTTTCTAATATCAACACGGAAACTTTTCACAGCGAGACTGTTGACGCGACGCGCCCGACGGTGAATATTCTGTTGACTTAATCTGTCGGTAGCCCCGCGCGAAACGACGGCGGAAATTGTTGTTTCGTACGTTTTACCTATAAATTATTCAGGAATGGGAAACAACGGTTGCCTTTCCAGTTTTGGGACTGGACCATCGTTCGCTCGATTAAATCTGAATTATTTGTGAATTTAATAGTAATAAAAACGTGGATTAATCGCCACCTCGTCGCACGGATCACAATAGATCTATAGTTACATAATTCTACGCGATAACTATGAAAGAAAAAAAAATACAGGATTAAGTGTACCTACGGTGACGGTCATGTTACCGACGAAGCCACGGTTTATTCGTGCCACTCTTAATAAATAAAATCACTCTTCGGGGCGATCGCTCCGTACTGGTCCTCTTTATTTAACTGTAGAATTGAAAACGTATATGCGACAATTTGATAGTCCTTACCGATCGAATAATTCTAGAAAAATAGAAAACGGAGTTGGACTGATAATAACTAACAGAAATTTTCTAGGGAGGTAAAACATTCCTTCGAGGTGATAGGAATTTATTCGCCCAGTCGCTTCACCTTTAGAATAAATTTCCTAGCTCCTCTATAAAAATCTCCGCCGCTCCTATATGAACGCGGCCTTGGCCCAACTGTTAAAAGACGGTTCGACAAAAAAAAGTGGTTGCAAAGAAACAACTAAGAAAGCATTTTCGAGGAACATGAGAAACAAAGGTTCGAGAATCTGGACTAATTAGCCTTGCCATTGGAACAAAGTCGAACAGTTTTATGGTTCCCTCCAAGTTCAACCGTGACCTAAAGAGGAAAAAAAGCACGAATGGGTCTGAAAACCCCCTCTTCGGTTGCAAACCTGTCGACGATCCCCGATTACGTCGATACCGAAGAGTTGAGCTAACTCAACAAGATAACCCGAGTCCCGGGCTCCTGGATCTTTTGCATTTAACCAGCGCGAGATAAATTGCACAGATAAATCAAAATGAGACGTCTATATAGGCGAGGATAATTCCCATTAAAGCGGAGGAGCCAGGCAGAGGCGCTAACTTCCGTCTCTATCCACTTATCCTTGCGAAGCACGGAAGGACTATTCCTCACAATTACATCCTGATCGATCCCCCAGGTGGCCGTGGATCCTTTCTAAAGGGGGCGTTTATGGGCTGGTCAACGACGCGGCTGGAATAAGGGGAGAGAATCTTAACGTGAGATGGCGGCTGACGGGGCCAGGGGTTGGGGAGCGGATAATTGAATAGTTTTATGATTCGACCCTTAAAACTTCACCTCTGAGAATGTATTTCGTTGGTTACTCCTGCGGGAATTAATTAACGATCAAACGGGAAAGTGGCTGGACATGGCGAGAATTATTAGGCAACCACGAGAGAACTCTTTGGTAGAAAAATGGTCCTGGAATAGCTTTCTTCGGATTCTCAGTTTGGCCAGATTAAATGTGCGTTTAAGAGACTCGGGAAAATTTTGTGCCATGAGTACAGGAGACACTAGGACTTGGAATGAACCAATAAGATGAGGTTTTTCGTATTTCAATTGACTGCATCGTTAAATGCAACATTGTAGGTTACTTGAAGGTCAAGCCAAGTGGTGGACGGTTAGTCAGTAAAAATCTGACACCAGCCCCAACAACATCTTAAGGGTGTCTTTTAGAAGATTTTCCCCTTCGCCACGGTAATAAAAACAAAAAGCGTTAAAGTCTCCCTACAACCTGACCTCAAGGTCATCGAGATTGGAGAACAAATAACATCCTACAGTCGAAGAGGAACCGTCGTCGACGCACCCCGCGAGTCGATTGACTTTTAAAAACTCCCTTTCAACCGGCACGGAACGTGTTTAAAAGGATGGCCATTCGGAAAATAGGTGGCCAATTCGCTCAGTCACGCCGGTGGCCAATTTCCCTACCATCGATTGGCTCCTTCGCTTATCAGTGAACGCATCGATCCTAAACTTAACCTATCCCGTCAGCAGCGAGAAAGAAAGACAACCTCCTCGACGTCACCGGACTCCCATCAACACTGCAGCTGCTTGCACTGGACGCCTATCTCCGTGCACCTGCACTCCAAACAAGGCCCGGATAGTTCAGTGATGATCCTCCCGACGCGGTACATCCTCCCGTAAATATTACACCCGGCCAGCTTCAGCAGACCGGTCACAGAGACCGGGATCTCGTTCTCCAGGACCTTCGAGGGCGTCGCGGTCTCCGCAACGGGCTCCCTCGCGTCCTCCGTCACCTGCGTAACGTTCCTGTCCGATGTAGACCTCTCAGTGGTGGATGCACCCGTGGTACTGGTACTGGTACGGGTACTGGTACCCTCGCTGCTGGGTTCGTTATCAGAGTTGAACAGGAGGTCAAGGACACTGTCCAGGGAGAACAGAGTCTCCACGTCTTCGGAAGGTTTCACAGTCGTCGAACGAACCTTGACGTCGTCGATCTCAACTGGATCCTTAGCTGGCGACACAGTGGAAGCGTTCCTCGAGCTGTTTGACTGCAAAGGAATAGAATCTACGGTGTTGGTAGGGTGGGAAGTGGTGTGAACCATTCCCGACAGACCGCCCCTATCGAAGTCTCCCTTTATCGGGACAGTCTCCGAAACGTGGTTCGGTGTCTGATCGCTGTCCTTCGAATTGTAACTCGTCGATATCCCTTCCTCGGGGTGCGACTCGCTTCCGTCTCGATTGGCGGCGTATTTATTCTTGGAGAGGAGCTCGTCGTTTCCTTCTTTCTGGCTGTAATCGTACGGATGGATCAGTGGCAGCTCGTCCATGTAATCGAAGTTGGACGTGTGCGGGGGATGATTGGATCCTTGGGTTTGCAGAGGGTTCAAGGTTGTCGTGGTGGTCGTCCTGGGTGTGGTGATACCGTGCTCCACCAGGTAGGGGATCATGTCTTCTATAAGGGAAGGCAGATCGGGCGCCGGTTCCGTCTTGATCACATCGCGGAACGGATCCGGTGACACGATCGGCTGATGGAGGGATGGCGCGGTGGCGTCCGCGCGGTCCAACACCACCGTGGGCGACTCCTCTGCTTCCACTGGAAGGATTAACGGAGATAAAGTGACGTTCGAATGGTACAATAGTTTCAGGACGAGAGAAAGTACGAAGAAGGATGCTGGAAGTTGATTGGGGTATGTTTATCGAGGGTAGGAGGTGTTATAGATGGAAGTTAAGCCTCTGCGAGTTCTAATTGGATACAATCATTTTGACGATGCCTTTTTCCTGGTGTTGTTCACGTTAAACGTGCATTTAATTGAATATAAATTGTTATGCACTTTTGTCAAGTAAATCTGGTCACTGGAATTTTCTATTAGGTGGAAACACGTTTGTCATGACCCGTTGTCAAATGAATGCAGACTACTGAAATTGTACATCGGTCGAAAAGAAAATCAAAGAAAATAAAACGATTATAAAACATTCCCCATAGATATCTGCTTCCCTTGTTAAACATTCAACGCAAAGGAAACAAGGCTAACGATACTTCTCAAGATTTCTGAGTGATCCGAAAGAACTGTCACCCTTCCAATAAACAATTCTCAAGAGTATATCCCTTCTCCAATTTCATCCTTCTTTTTTTTTTTCTAACAAGAGACTACGTCGTCTTCTTAGCCGAGAAAGTGTCCCTGGCGATGAATAATAACACCGTGGAAAACTGTAAAGGTATTTAGATTATGCCCTTTAGGTATCCCCCCGTTGCTGTATAACCGGCTAAAACTTCCTTAAAACTGTCCGTGGAAATTTACGACCGGGTCACACGAGCCGCACCGCGAGATTTATAGTCGTAGTAATGCCGCTCTTAAAACAGTAAAAGTTTCATCCTAACAAGCTGCGAGCTCCAGCGACGGAAAAGTGTGCCGAAGCTCGATGACGATGGGGTAGATGAGGGTGGAAGGGTGTAGAGAGGGGAGCTCAGATTTGTTGCGATTTTCGTATAAAATCCAGGGGTTGTTTCTCGCGTACCGCAGACGATTTTCCCGCAGCAGGTTTCCTCGGTGTTTATTCTTCGACAGCCGATCTTCAGAGGCGGGCACTTCTCCGAGGAGCACACCACTTCGCCGTAGTAACACATGCAAATCACGCAGATATTGCTGCTCGGCAGAATCTCGCCGTGGCGGTGTTCCATATTCTCGAAGAGACAGTTCCCGGCTGAAACAAAAACACGGCGGTTTCTTCGAACGAAGTTCGAAAATAAAAATTTGAATAAACTAGGAGATCGAGCGACGTAGCGAAACGTTGGCGGACCGGTTGTAGAAAAGTAGGTGCTACGGTTGGAGAAGAGTTGGGGAGCTATAGTAACGGTAGCAGGTGTCAAGTGTCGTTGTCAATGATGGATAATGTTGTAGTATGGTTGTTTATAATATACTATCATGGCGATTTAATTGAAAAGCAGAAAAGATGGGTTTACCATCGCCTTTGCGGTGAGAATTCGTGATGGGCGCTGGAACAACAGTGACGGCTGTGCCAATTTCCAGATTCAGGTCCGTGGAGTGATAAGGGGCGCCGAAATAGGGTGGTTCTCTCGGCACGAAGCCACCTTGTGACAAAAAAAAAGTCGACTTCAAGAAAGAACGATAAAAAGGCACGACTTAAAAACTTATCTCTGTACTTTTGAACGTGTCCTATAATATAAAATAGAATTTATTAATATGTAAATCGGTAATGGAGACTGTCGAATATACTGTCGATTCACTTCGTAAAATTACTCTAAATAAAAAATAATAATTGATACAATAATAGGTATATAATAACTAATGTGCTAGTCTCATTTAGACAAGATCATTCTTTTCTGTTTCATTTGTTTCATACATGTTTTTCGTCGCTCCGTTTTGCGTCACGTTGCAACGGCTACACGAGTCTCGCGTAATAACGTCGAAAGCGTACGAAATTATATAAATCCACGGTAGCGAGAATTCATGAAAAAAAAAAAAAAGAAAAAGGAAAGGAAATATATTGAAAAATATACTGTCAAGTCCAGTGCGTCCGTTTCAAACCGGTAAATTTTACAATCCCGCAAAGCGAGAGCCTGCGAAACGCATGCACGTCAGCGTCACGTTGATCGCGATACAAAAAAAAAAATATATACAAACAAAAATACTACAACTTCGAGCGTCCGTCTCTCGGGCAGCAGCTGGAAATTTTCGAATTGCGCAAAACAGATCTCTCTAAAATGAATAATAAAAAAGAGGAGAAAAACGAAGAACGACGTACGTGTTGACATCGACGCTCTTCAATGGCGCTGCAACGTGTTTCGTATTATTTAATTATTCATTAGCAACTCATGGATATTCATTCGATACCGACATCGAGCATCGTTTCTTTTGTTTATTATTTCTGGGTGAATTGTAAACGGAAGTAAAGAGTTTTGGAAGTTATCATTGAGTCGCTAAAAAATCAGAATTACAGCATTGACTTATCGAATACATTTTTGATGATTCGTGGGAATATCCAGAATTTGTAGTTAATTCGTAACTAAGCTTTACTAAAAATTCTTTTAAAACACCTGATCCACTTGAACCGGCGTAATGAACAGCACTTTACCCGAAATGCATCTCCGAATCGGTCCTATAGTTGGAAACCCTCTCGTATCGGTGCGCGAGACCAAACAGGCCAAGAGAAATAAAAATCTCGCTTGTCGGATGTGCGTCACGACGAATATAAAATTTACGCCTCGCGTAAACCCGCGAGAATCCCGAATGCTTAGGATACGACTCACCTTCGGTCTCCACAGGCGGACTGAATCTGTTTTCCTGAGTAGCGATATCGTAAAATCCAGAAGTGTCAGTCGGCCGTAGCTCGGGCGGTACGACCACCGATCCGGAAGGATACCCCGTGACAGGCGACGGAACCGTCTTGTCTTTCACCAGCGCGTCTGCCGCCACGAATGGAATTATCCTGCAAGGAAACGCGGAGATCCACCGTAGAAACTCGTCGGCAACGATATCTACCGCGAACTCAAGGATTTCGCTATGCCGAACAACTTAATTATTAGGAGGTTGCATCGATAGCCGCTGTTTATGTATACGTGGATTTCACTGCGAATACTTGATCAGTTGCATCAAATCGCCAAAAAGTGATTCTTATTCGCGACAATGCTCGGAATAATGAAATAATAATTTAAGAATTTTATTATAGAAAATATATCGTTAGTAATACTTTCTATATTTGAGTTTCATTTTGACTAGTACAGTTGGGAAAGGACCACCTTAACAAAGGTTATTGATTACTGGTCTGAAGATCAAGGAAAAAATTGTTTCGCCACGAAGATCTCCGAATTTCTATGAACCTCTACAAAAATTATTTCTATTTCCAAGAACGAGGAAGACGGGACGTAAATGAGATTCATGATGTAAATAAATATAGTATATACATACATCGCAGAGAGAAAGAAAGATCACTCCTCGGTTAAAAAGAACGTGGTATGTCCTATGAATAGGTGAATAACTCCTAGAGTAAACGAGAGAAAACTTTTAATTTCCAAATCCTTTCGCTTCGACGATTCTTTGCGCAACAACAAGTCCCGTGATTGATATCCCTGCATTCCCTTTTTGCACGGTTGAAGCGTCCCCAGTGTCCGCTAATGGAACGCCCGTGCCAACGTTTGGTCCACGATTCATATTTCCGTCGATGATGTCCATCGGACGTCTACAAGCTGCCCAGTTCGCGTGGAAAGGTACACACACCACCGGAACGTGTCCACGGCATCAGATTGGACCGCGCGCGTACAGTCGAGCGTAGCCGAGGACATCAAAGGACCGTAAAGTTCGTTTGTTTCTTTGCATTAACCAGCATTGATTACTATGTCCACCGAGGATGCGGTCCTATAATTTCGAGCGAGGCTTTGAAGCCAGCTGCACGCTGCTCTCCTAAATAGTCACCTGTCTAAGCACCGACCGCCGCCTCAATGCAACTTGACTCTGGCAGACGGAATGTTGTTATTCGAGCAAACAAAGTAATAGTCAAAGGCAAAAGGCTACTTTGCGCGGGACAGACGCAGGGAAACCTGGGAAATGCGTTCCGTGGAGGTGCGCCGGCTAGCGGAAGGCTTTTCACCCAATTCAGTTCCAACGAGTTCCTGCCATCGATTTCAATATATAGGTCTTCGCGTAGAATGCCTCCGCGTTTGAAGCGGAGTCGAGTACGTCGAAGCAGAATCAATTGACCTCCCAAGGTCACAGGAGAGGCGAATACCCCCACCACGGAGCTACCCGCGATTAAATTTCCGTTAAAAATATCGTAACCCGAAGAAAGTATTAAAATAAGAATGAAAATGTGCAGTGGAAGTTCTGCGGTTCTTATAAGAGGATCCGCTCTTGAGGAAATCGACTTTGAAAATTTTTCGAGTGCCGACGAGTGTTGCCTAGCCATGTCTGACCATTGCTAGCCGTTTCCACTTACGTCTGACGCGGCGATAGCCAACGCAAACGTATACAGGGAGCTATGCACAGTTTTTTCGTTCGATAAAAAAGGTTGAATCTTTGGGTTAAATTTAGTCGAAAATGTGCAGTGGAATTTTCTTATAAGCTCCGATTTCGAGGAAATCGACTTTAATCATTTGCCGGGTACTGTCGAAGAAAGTATTAAAATTGTAAGTTAAGAATTTGGCATCACCGTGTCTCGTCATTTTGTATGGTGTTTCTCTTCTCGAAGTCTCGCGCTAGCTAGTTAAATAACTATTGTCGAATTCTCTGCTTCGACTGCTCGATCGATAATTAAATAAAGAGCTCGATAGAAAAAGAAACGATAGTTCAGAGGTCGCTTCGCTATATTCGAGGACTTCGAAAGGGACCTTCGAAGGGTAACCCAGAAGCCTCGGATAGCACGGCTCCCGATCGATGAATATGCAAGGATATCGCGCTTATTCGCCACAAATGTCGCCTCGATTCCATCGATTTCTCGGTTTCCGTTGAAACTGATACGAAACCCGGGCCACGGCAAGTGTCTCATCGCGGAACGGAGGAAATGGGAGAGTGAAAAATTAAATATCCACCCTCGATTGCATTTTTAACGGTTACGAGCAGCGGTTGGAAGCGAGGAGGTGGCAGAAGGAAATTTCATTTTTACTTTTACGACAACCTGCGTCCCTTCCGTTTACAAATGAAACGATCGAGAGATAAGAGTGGAAGGACGCGAACCAGGAATTGGTTTTGTTTCTTCTTGATCCATGGTGAAACATTTTTTAGAATAAACTAGAAATTTCTTTGGTCGAAGAGAATCTTGAAAAATCCGAGTGTAGCGGGAAAATAGTGAATCGCAAGAGTCCATTCGGGCGGGGGTTGGAGGCTTCATCCCCAGCTGGTACAAAATTCTCCATAGAAAGGGGTTTTCTTTGCCATTTAACTCGATGGTTCTTTCAGAAGTATACACAATAAACGGAGAGAAAGTAAAACAGAGGGATCAAAGACTACAGACTTCTATTGTTACCCTACGACCATTTCGATTCTCTTGTTAAAATCACAGGTGGCATAGGATCACAAAGGGGATGACGGAAGAGAATCACACTTTGCTATCCGATGTGTGTACCAGTGTTGGCCAAACTCCAATTGTAACGAAGTTAATTTCAATTAAAATCCGAATGCGATTTGAAGTTGACTCAATTGAAATCCAACATCCCAATTTATATCTCTTCGATTCCGACTGAAGCTGGTAGCAATTGAAACTGGATTTTTAAATACACCTGACGTTTTTTTTTTTTTTTTTTATTTTTCAATCGAAGTACAGACTTTTCGATCGCGATAGAAGCGACTCAACTTCCCCCGTCGCCTCAAAGATTAATTGCAATTAACGTTTCAGTGGATGGAATCAAAACTGATTAACGTCGAACGCCGGACTACGGTTCCTGGAATCTCCTATCTGGTACTGTTAATTCGTTAGGTCAACCACGTTTTGTGGACTCGTGGACTGCTATTTACCTTACCTGACATTCGGTAGCGACGGCGGTAACGTTGGCTCGCCGTAATCGTAATCGTAGTCCACTCCCTTCTCTCTGTGAGTGATGTTCAGTATGGCTTCGACGTCCGGCGGAATTGACCTAATCGGGTTTATCGTGACACCCTGAATGTGACCCACCGAGACGTTCGTTTTCACGGTAACGTTCATCACCAGGATGTCATCCGGCATTAGTACACTGGATGACGTTTTGGCGGGCGCCCCTTTAGTTATGGACTCCGTTGTCTCTGCTGGCTCCATCTAATCGCAACAGGTCCCATTGTTAACCGTCAACCGCTGAATCGACATTGATAGCTAATTTCGATTTTAATCGATCGATTCTGGAAATCAGTTCACCCGCCTGTACACAGGGTGTCCAGTACAAAAATTGCGACAGGTTTCTTGAAAACTGGTGTACTCGTTGTATTAATTGTAAAATTTATTCAATCGAGTAAATTTATTCGTTGTGTATATTTTCGGTATGTTTTCCATTAAGTCACGAATGCATAGAATCCGCGGTCTACCAATGAGGATGTACACTTCATTTTTAGGTGTAATGACTATAAATGAAATAAAAATGGTTCGAGCAAATGTTACTCGGATTTATAAAATTAAAATAGCACTCATTCCAAACCCTAGAAAATTAACTACCATTTGCTGATACACAAAATACAATGTCCCAATTAGTCTTTCTATTGTAAGACTTACCGTGAAGTTCACATGGTCGAAGTCTTCTTTGAACGCTGCCTGAGTCAAATTCGAGGAGACGACAGTATCCTTGTTCCTCACAGTCACGTTGATCTTCGTCTCCTCCTCCGTCACTGTATCGTTTCCAACTACTTCCGGTAAGGGGGTTGTTCGATCGGTGGTGGCGTCCTCCGAGAATGAGAGATCCTCGATCGTGGTAATCGTAGATCCCTCCACGGTGCTCGTCGAGAACGTCGTAGAAAGGTCGTTGGCTGAGTCATCTTCTTTGCTGGCCAAAGTCGACTCAAGGGTCGTCGAGTCGACCATGGTTGTCAGCTGCAAAACGTTAGTAGGATGATACAGGCTTTTGTATCGAATTTGTATACAGGGTGTCCCAAAATTAGTGTGAGTGAGTTTTATTGGAATTATGAGAATTTTGAAGGCATGGAAATTTCATGGAAACTGTAAGATCTTGACATTTTGAGGATGTAATTACACCTACGAGAATTTTATTGCAATTGTAAATATATCACTAAAATCATAAGCATTTCATTCCCATCATTAGAATCTTTTATTGCCATCGTGATAATTTTCTTGAAGATTGGAACTATAAATTTCGCTAACATCGTATTTCCTTGAAATTCTGACCATTTTTACATTCGAGCCTCGGACGACTCGACCGTATTTCTTCCAGAGCCTTTCCATCTTCCTCCCGAGTCCTTTCGAAATAAATTAAACAGCGTATAAATATTTTTACCTCCTCGAGGAAGCCTGGCGTCGTGGTGGGGATTTCAGGGCTGGACTTGACGTTGGCCACCGTCTCCACCAGGATCTCGTTGTCCATGATGTCGGTCTCGAACGTGGAAGGCCATGACGTGGGATCGGTGGGGATCGAGGACTCCTCACGGTCCGTCGTGCTCGAATCGATTCGTTCCTCGACCACGCGATGACCGCGACCCTCCACCGGAAGGCTCGTTATTTGCTCCGCTGCAGGCTGTACAAAAAGTCGTTCGTGGCCTAATCGAATTATTTAAAGAAACAACAATCCTTTGCTGCACCCTCGACGAAGGCTGCAGCGATCGGTCCCAGCGATTTACATTTTTCTTCGAATCCGTGAGTGTGCGTTAATTTTTAATTCGAGTCGATCGCGACGATTTGCGACAGCTTTCGACTGAAATATTTTTAGAATTTTTCAGTTACATCAACAAATATTTTCCTTGTGCTATTATTAGACTCGGGAGGACCTGTGTGACTCGTGGCTGCTTTTTAACGAGGCATTTTTATCAAGAGTCAATCACTTTCTATTAAAGAGTCAATCGCTTTCTATTAAAGAACTGGGTATTGCGAATCCTTTGTTTACCCAGTTCGTGGTTTCTTTCTAAGAGAATTCCGAAGTGTTTTTGTCGCGGACCGTCTCTTGTTACTTCGAATATTTTTGTTTCTAATATTTTATAAGAGAAACTGCCCCGACACTAGTTCCCATGAATCTTGTACTCATCGCTAACAAGAGCCCGCTTGAGTCATTTCTAATTCAAGGCAAAAAGGCCAGGTGAACGAGAATCAATCTTTCACGCACCGCGCGAACCCTTTTTTTTATCCACGAGCCAGTTTCACAGGATAATATTTATCTCCGCAACGAAATGTACAATTAAAATCGTTCTGCTTCGTCGAAATGGAACCACTGTTGCGAACACATTGTCCGTGATACTCTCTTTTTTTTTGTAAAAGCGATAGACCATTATGTTTTTAAAATACTCCCTCCGGGGTCTGTTAACAACAAAAAAAATAACGCAAAAACTTGAATTATTTGCATACGGCCGCGTGACCCAGCGCACGGGTCATACAGCTTCGTCGAAGTGGATATTTCCGTGTAATTGCGATCCCACTTCGTCGTTTATTCATAGATTTTAATTACACACGGTTTGTTTGTTGTTCGCCGAGATCGAACGCTAAAAGCACAAAATTTTACTGCTCGAAACTGCGGTGTGATCGCGTTTCAATTATTATCGAAATAATTATTGATAAACGAATTAAATATCGGAGGACTTAATAAATTATTATAGGGTTAGTTGTTAATTCATCAAGCAGCGGCGGTGGTGTTAGTAATATCAACGACACCAGTATTAGTTATCGATATACTACCGTTACCTATGACTTCCAAGCCAAGACGAAACCCACTTTCAATTCCTCGAGGCAGCCGCACTTAACCTGGATGCACTTATCGTGCCATCGCTAAAACAAAATTCGTACCCAGGGAGATAACGTTAGGAATCCATTTTTCGAACCGTGTGACACGTCACGCGGGATATGGTTCTTTCATCTACATGGCAAAAGGAGCCAAATCGCGTTTCCTCCGTTCGTTTTCCCGAAATGAAAGAGTCGAAGCTTGTGCTGACGAGTGAACTCCGACATCCAGAGAAAGAATATAGTACATATGTCGGTGTTAAGTAGAAGGTATCTCTTTCGAAGTATATCGTCTACTAAGGATTTAAAAAAGATATACAATCGATTCACCAAACAGTAAATTATAATTAAATAAATGAATTGTAAGTGTCGGTGACCATGATAGAGCGAAAATTAGGTTCCCCTATCAATATACTCACTTGCTACGCAGACTTAATCGTAAATAATGATTAGACTGTGGATGTTCGTGCATTTGAGGCCTTGAGAACCAAAGTGGCCTAAGTAACAGTTTTTTGAAAAATTGAATCATGGCCTAGAGCGCATAGCTGACAGGATGTTTCATAAAACCAAAGTGGCGGTATAGAAATAATTAAATGAAAATCGTAGCTTCCAATTTCTCTTTATAATATGGCTCTCATGGATAGATTCATGGTCAGTGAATATATAGAAAAATTTATGAATACGTACAAGAAAATATCAATAATCGGATTGCTACATTGTTTAGAAAATAAGAGATACTTCCATTTAAATCTCTAATTTATTTTTTTTTTTATTTTTTTTAAATCTCAATGGAGATTTTTTGAATTTCAACTTATGAACATCCGCAGCCGACTGACGATGATATTAACTAGATGAAAGTCTGGACGACTGTGGTAGAATGAAAATTAGGTGCGCATGGCCTATCAATATCGAGGAAGGAAAGACCCTCCAAGATTCCTCTCGTCATCGACGCATAATCTCGTCCGTGGCCACGTGATTTACAACTCCAAGTGGAATTTAATTAATGGAATCCCAAGGGAACGGACGCTCCGTCGGTTAGACATTTAACTTAGTTAATCCGAGAACGCCAAGTGAAGCATTCCTCGTCAGAGACTTCGACCTCGGATTGGACAGAGTCTGTTATAGTTCTGTCGGTGTTAAACCGCTCGAAACAATTATGGGACCATTTATTCCAGCGACTTTGTACCCTAGAATGTTCAATAACCCGGAAACTATGGTCCAGGGACTTCCGGAACTGACGTTCGAGGGGTCAGGACATAGTTAGGGACTCTAAACAGTGCTTCGAAGACTGTCTTTCGAAGAACAGTAATACACTGTTTATCCTTTGATGAATTTGTTACTCATTTTTAATTGCAAAGTCTGTGGTGATTAAATGGAGTATTTTCGAATAGAATTAATTGTTCATAGTTGAGTGAAAATTGTTGTTAAGATAAAAGAATTTAGGAGACGTTACTTTGAAAATATCACGTGGGACTGTTCTTCGATCGCGCGCCAAAGAAAATGAATGAAAACAATGTCGGATTCGGTTTCTTCTAAAGAATAATTCACCCATGAATCTTTCAAAAAATAATCGATATAAATAATTCTACGATCGTCGTTTAGAGGGTTCCAAGGCTGATGATTCAAATAGAGGAGTGATAAGTATTACTCCCTAAAATTTTATACGTCTCTCGTCCTCGGTAGATTCCTTCCGTTCTGGCTTCGTGTCGGATCATCCTTCGCGTGTTAAAATTCCGTGTCGTCTTTGGAAAGTACGCCCTCCGAATACGAAAACAGCGATTTTGGGAAACGCGAACCGGGGTAAAACGATAGGGGCGATTTTTTTCCTCTCTCGTTTTCACGCCACTCTTTCCCCGGGCGATTTTTCAGACGGTTTTATATCGTTTCGGACGGATATCGTCGGGAACGAGAAATTTATCGGCGTCGGGATACGTGGGGCTATCTTCCTGGTCCAAAAATATGAAAACGCGATCGACGCTACCAAACGTTTGGACCAAGATATTGAAATTACTCGATCATCGTCATTTGCTCCTCGTGTACTGTCGATCCCATAAATATTCCTACGATCTATGTCTATTAAAGAAATTGAATGGTACGTTTCGTGTTTACAAATAAATTTTTCGCTGTAAGTATCAGGGGGACCGAATAGTAATCAAAATTTTATCAACGTTTATTTATTAAAGAAATCTTAAACACTAAGGTAACAAAATAATTCCCATCATCGAATGACAAAAAAGTCCTTCGATCCTTCATTGAAAAACTTTTCCAAGTCGAAGACTTGGTGAAAAGTCATACGTTTCTTTGGAAACATAGAACCAATTATTTAATGTCTCCAGTAGACATAGGGGGTAGGAATACTTATGGGACTGACCGTCAAATGAATTCAATCTATAGAAATATAAACAATGCTATCCCTGATAAACGTTTTACTACCCCTTAAATATTCCCGATCAAACCACGATTATATCCTCAGAGAAATACTCAACGAAAATAAATACCGCTTCGAAATAGATAAATAAAAATTAATAGCTTCCCCGTTTCAAGCACGCTCAACAAGAATAGCGAGATCGAGCGAACTCCGAGATCAAAGAAACCCAATCGAAATCACCGTGAACTCGAACCCAGAGTCGATCGAGTCGCATTCGTCCATAGTAGGAAGGCAAGATGGGTGGCCCAAGAATTGCCCAACCAATCGCCGAGAACGCGATAGAAGCATGCAACGGAAGCTAAAAGCACAGGACAGTAGGAAGATTGATTCGTCGAAACAAACGGGAACCGACGGAAGAAGCTAGGTATTCGAAGTTATACGAAAACATACAAAGAAATTGGTCTCCTTGCGAAACTTGGCGTAGTCCTTGCTGATGAACGCGTACGAGGCGTAGTTCTGGGTGGCCTTAACCTCGATGCTACCGCCTTGAACGTTTAATCTGTCAGTTTCTTATGGCATTCGGGCTAGAACACCTAGGTGGTAATCAGGGTTGTGAAAGAGCACAGGGTTTTTCCGCTGCTCACGCCCCCGGGTTGTGTTTCCTTCTTTGTTCTCGCTGGAAATTGGAATCAACGCTCGTTCTCCCGTCGTATCGGTGGGAGATCTGTCTTCGTTAGGAGATTGAAAAAGTTCCAAAGGTTTTATATATACACTTGACGTGGGTGTGCGAGCTAAAACGATGAGGAGGTTGCGACGAATGCAGGTTGAATCTTTGGGCAAAATTGAGTAGAAAATGTACAGTGGAATTTTCTTATAAGAAGCTCCGCTTTTGCGGAAATCGACTTTGAAAATTTGTCGGGTGCTGTCAAGTGTTGGCTAGGCATGTCTGGCCACTGCTAGCCGTTTTCACTTACGTCTACCGCAGCGGTAGCCAACGCAAGAAAATAGATGAATAATATAGAACAATGTTGTTACTCCACGTTTATCTTGATTCTCGAGAAAGTCTATTTTGAAAATGTTTGGGCTGTGCGACTTACTTAATTACTCTTCTTGACTGACGTATCTATGCATTGCTCCCTGTACGCGCTTGCGTTGGCTACCGCCGCGCCAGACGTAAGCGGAAACGGCTAGCAATGGTCAGACATGCCTAGCCAATACTTGACACCAGTCGAACGATTTTCAAAGTCGATTTCCTCGAAAGCGGAGCTTCTTATAAGAAAATTCCACTGTACATTTTCGACTCAATTTACCCCAAAGATTCTACTTTTTTTTTTCGAGTGAAAAAGTTCCGAGTCGAGTCGAGTTTCGAGTCGAAAATGTATGCTAAACTCTAAAATTCTAAACACACCTAGACTTGAATTATAAATTTACTACGAGATACTCCAAGACACCAATCACTTTTCCGCACGTTTGTTGTTTCGTTCTCTATCGACCGGGACCGGTTCCATTTCAGAATTTGAATGTGACATTTAATAGGCGATACAGCTCAAGCTTTGCGCTGCCCATCCACAATCACGCAATGTTTTATTTTATGCACGACGGGATATAACGACTGCGGGAGAACGTTTGCTCCGTGTCAAACTATCAAACGTGTTTCCTCTTAAACGCGATATTGGCTTTTACAGCAAACATCACGGCCCGCTGAATTATTTTCATTCGTTAGTCGCGCACTTTTCCGCGCGCAGCGCATCCAATCTCGGCGTGCAACCGGATCAAATAAACGACCCTCGAATGAATCAACGAAAATAGAGCACTTCCGGCACGTGTCAACAACGCCGCTCTTTTCATTGACAGTGTACTTCCGCGGTATACGGGCACTCGACGAAGCGTTCAAATTTCATGACTTACTCCGACGCGATAGTCAAAAATTCGAGTACGTGTGTTTTCTCACTCGTCGAATCAAAAATTTCGAAGCCGAGTTTGCTCGAAAGTTATTAAAGGGTGAGTTTCTACATTTTTCTCTACAGCATTTTTCTTTTTTACTTTCGACTCGAAATTTGTACTTCACCGATACTCTGGAATTAAAATTCAAATCCTCTAAAATAAAATCCTTTAAAACCTGAACCGCCAAGAATATGGTCTCGTTTCACGGAACGGGGACACTCGGCGGACCATTCAAATTTAATGATTTCCTGATTGGATTCAGTTCGGCTTCGTTCATCGCCCAGGACTACCCGGGAACATTTTTCGCGTAAAATTTCATCGGGATGAAGAAACGAACAGCTTCGAAGATAAAACGTTTTAAATAATATATCACGATACTAATCGTAAACAACAAAGCTTACACCTTCATTTACTGGCGAGATTTGTAAGTCCCTAGAAAGCTGTCGTGACTTTCGAGTCCACTTGTATGAAGTTCGAAGCTTGTACAGCCAACTCTATAAGATGATACAAGAGCGAGATGTACGCCTAGATTTTAAAAACTTTTGAGAAATTCAGTGTAAATAAAGGGTCAAAAATGTTTTAATACTCCTTCGAGAAATAACAAATTCTCCATACGAACGTCAACATTTTATCTTCAAAGAAATTTGTTCAAAGTGATTAATACGCGTCCGTGAATCTCTAAAAATATTAAATATCTTGTGCCAGCTCGCGAAAAAGTAATGGCCACGAATTTTCTTGATACCCGTTTGAACGTCTGATCCCCGAAAATGGGAGAACGTTGTCGGAAAAACAGCGTTAGCGCCGCGAGAAATTGGAAACACAATCCGGGGTGTGCCTGTCGGGCGCGGGGCGAGTTCGCGGCAACCCTGATGCAAAGTTATTGCGACTCACTGCAGTTGTAGGTGGAGGGACAGCAGTGTCCGTCGCGTACGATGGGGGTGCAGCCTTGAAGGGGTGGAGCGCAGGCGAGGGGCACGCAACGCACCGCGCCCATCGCGCAGAAACAATTGTCGCAGGCAGCCTTCCACTCGATGTCCCTGACCATCTCGCCCTCCTCGTAAACCCGTGATCCGACGCGACATCCTGTGGAATAAAGAATAAATCCTTCGATTTTTCACGCGTTCACCCTTAACGCTCCCACATCGGCCACTTCACGGATGATTGATTAACCCTTTGCGCTCGAGGCCTTTTTTACTGGTATCTACCAGCAACTCGAGATGTTTCTTAGCATTCTATTGCCATGAATTCTAAGCTATCCAGATTTGAGAATTAAGGTCACCTTTACCTCGCCGATAATTATTTTATCGATACTTCGAGCACCAAAAAAATTAAACCTAAAGAAACATTAGGTATCGTAGTAGATTTGCACATCTCTCGAGTACAAAGGATTGACTTCTTTAATTTTACAATTTCAATTTTCTACTTCTCGTCAGTTTAAAGGTTGCTCTATTTATTACACGACTCCACCGTGTGAGGCCAATGAACGACTCCAATGAATATTTCGAGACTAAAGGGGTTTGGAACTACGTTTTTTTAGCGATTTGCATGAACTTTCTTTTAGCAAGAAAGGAATGTATATAATGTAGTGTTCGCGCCTCCTGAATAGCATGTCGTCCCCGCGTTTAGATCTCGGATCGTTGACTAATCTGTTTTGATTTCGCGTTCCGCTGTTTGTCTTCGATAAGAGTTTAATCACCGCCCCCGTCACGCCAACGGTTACGTTGTCGCTGAAAACCCTCTGAAACGGCGACTCTGTCCGGCGAAAGTTGCGACGAAAAGTTTCACGCGATAAAAAGGAAAGTTTCCTAACGTCCCCTCCCCATGGTCGCCACATCAGCCGCTTTAGAAGAAGCCACGGGCGCTGGTCGAGTTTAAATTAAAGCTCGGCTTACGAGGAAAAATCGCGACGCGGGGTGAAATCAGGCGACCCTGGCTATAGCGAATTTTAATTCCCCTTAAGTCGCGTCGCGTCTCGCCTACGAGTATCTTTTAATTATCGGCCGAGAAAATCCTTTTAAAGGTTTAGAGTCGGACGCCGCGAGACTCGAATTCATGAATTTTAGCTCGACGTTCGATTAAGAAAAAAAAAAAAAACAATTGTAACGCACCGCCAGAAAACTCGTAAACTCGGCCCTCTCATTTTCGAACGTTGACCTCCGAAAGTCTCCCGGACGTTTTCATTTCGTTTCATTTTTTTCCCTTCGATTTTCCCGCGGGAAGGAAACTTTCTCCTTTTTTCGGAATACACGCGCGTCAGAGAGTCGGAGGGAAACGTTTAGCGCAATAAAACATGGTTACTGTCGGCGTTCCTTTATCCCGTGACACTTGCTTCAGAAAGATTTCTACCGTCGTTTCTCTGCTCGTTCACTTAACGCCCAGTTTCATTCAATTTTACGACGCCGCGGCCCTTTCCAGAGGAAACTGGAAATCACGTTTCCAGGTAAATCTGACGCGTGAAGAGACGCCGGGACTTTTATTTCCCGCGCTACCCCTGTTTTTCCTAGCCGCTGTTACGAAATTTTCGTTTTTCCAACATCTTCCCCAGCCATTCTTTACGCTTTACTCGTTGTTCTACTTCGCGCCCTTAAAACGCGCGGAAGCGTTGCCAACTTTTATTTAAAATTTGGCTAAATTAGATGATTAGTTTGATCTTCCTACTTGTTTCGAAACGAAAACGAAACTTCACCATCATATCTTTCACATTAATAATATAAAAAAAGAATTTCGTTTGCGCCACAATATAGAGCCCGTAGTATCCTGCAGTTCACATATAAACAAATTTTTCGTATCATCAATAGTTATTGAAATATGCGTCTGTCGCACTTGACCCCGGACACCCTGTATACGAAAATGTATCTTCACGCTCGCATAACGAACTAACTCTATTTTTAACCGACTTCGAAAAGGAGGATGTTACTCAATTCGACATATATATATATTTTTTTTTTGTCTTCATGAAACAGAACAACCCACTTTTACGAAAAGAAGCAACTTCGTCGTTTGCGATACCTACAGCTGTTCCTTTAGGAAAAAGTTGACGAAGTCCCGAGGCCAGAGTAAATAAATCGTGCGAAGCGTATCGGAACTCTAATCGCGCGAAACACGGGTTCGGACGTCAAGGGGTTAATCCCAAACAGCTCCGCGGCAACAACCCCAATGAAACGAAGGGGGCAGCGGGTCGGTAACTGTGAAATCGGTAAATAACAATCGTACGGCGACCCTGTTGTTTCGCCTCGAACAGGAAAACAACGAGTTATCCACGTCGAACGGCGCCGTAACACCGTAATAACGCCCCCGGGTGACGTTCCCGCGATAGAAGTTCGCCCTGGAACGGATCATCGGGTCCGATATTGGGTTCTTTCGGTTTTCAACCACCCCGTCCTCGCCCCGCGGCGTAGATGGGTGAAAGGAGATTGGCTACCGGCGCTTTATGAAGTGCTGTATCACCTTCGACCGAATGGATTCGGGAGATTATCCACCCTCTTCCACCCTTAGAAGATTTCGTTGTTCTTGAGTTTGGATTCGGCTCGGTTTGAAAGTTAAATTGCCCGACACGCCCCCGCTTTTTCAACCCCGTAAGCTTTCTCGGGAAAAAGGGACGTGCAAAATTTGATTGGCGTAATAAATATCGAACGAAACCGTTCGGAATATAGCTTCGATTTGGATCGCGTGGAGCATTCTTATTATTTACACGATACTTTCTTTAGGTTTAATTTCTTTGGAGCTCGAAGTGTCGATAAAATGATTGTCGGCGAGGTAAAGGTGACCTTATTTTCAAATCTGGATAGCTTAGAATTCATAACAATAAAATGCTAAGAAACATCTCGAGTCGCTGGTAGATACCAGAACAAAAGGCCTCGAGTACAAAGGATTGAAGATCAAAAATACGGCGCTGCTGATTATCCTCTTGTCAAATTTTGCGGAGGATGTATAATACATTGCTCGAAACGAGAGTAACGCAAATAATAATACCGTCGAAAAGAACGAACATCGAACTCACCATTTCCCGTGACTGGCGCCAGGGTGGACGGGTGGAGATCTTTAAGAGAAAAAAAAAAAAAAAAGAAGAACAGAACCAGTATGAGTTATTTCGATTCGTTGGTAGGTGAACCGACGACGCGACGGGACGAGAGCACACTCACGGGTGCAATTGTAGGCAACCGGGCAGCACGAGTGCGGCGCATAGAGAGGAGTGCATCCTGGCAGGGGCAACAGGCACTTCGGTCTGATGCATCTTCTTGCACCGGAGATGCAGTAGCAGTACTCGCATCTGCGCGAGCCCATCATCGCCGAACCTGGCCCGTATCTCACGCCCTCGTGCAGGCAACCTGTTAACAACAACAAATCGTATCTTTTCGATCGACACACTTTCGGACGATATCAACAACCGTACACTAACCCTAGGATGACTTCGGACGAGTTGAATTGTTTCTCGAGTGCCTGAGACTAATTATTTCTGTCGATAAACTAAGAAGCCTGAGAAACCTTAGAAGTCTGATTTTCCAAATTAGATTTTTAAAATAATACCGATGCGTTATTATTATTCGAACAATTTTGACAGCTGACGTTTTTTTAACTTTTGTTCGAAGAGTAACATGCATACAGCCAGATATTAAAAACAAACCAATCGAAACTTAGGGCATTTAAAGGTTAAAAGAATTTTCTCTACTCTTACTTGTCAGTCCTTGTGCGTGACGATTTTAAAATCAACAATTATGGAAAGATCGTTCCATGTTAAACACTTGTTCGTTACTATTAAGGAGTTAATATTGCACGTGATGTCTCTAGTTTTATCAAATGAAATTATTTGTAATAATAATACATACGAGTTAAAAGTACCAGACGCGCTTAATGCTTGATGAATAAATATTATCTTCGTTTCAAGCACGGTTGAACGTAACCGGGCATTCAAACGGACAATTTTGAGAACGTTACTCGATTGCGTACTTATAACGAGTACATACTGAACTGAATTCCGTGAATTACATCTCGGCTAGCGCGGTACGTGTTGCAGCCGTGCACTCGTGCTAAAGAGTCTACTTCGAGTTATATCTTCGCCTCGTCATTAGTACGAAGTCGTTACCTTGAAAGCGAGAATTCGTATAATCCTCCTCGTACGTCTCTTTCTGCTCCACGTGAACGTTGGACCTTCTCAAAGCGTTCTCGGAGTCGCCTGGAAATTCCACGAGCCTTAATTCCCTCATCTCCTCGACTATCTATTCTTTTATACTTTAATTCGTTGTTTAATACATCGATTGTCCCCTATTACGATATCAATTGATCCCGAAATACGACTAGGAATACTTGTCACGATCGCACTAACGTGTGTCGCCGCAAATCAGTTCGGCGCAGCACACGTTCTCTCCTGGTGGACGAAAACGGCACCCCGGTGGAGGTGGATTCGGTAACCGTGGACAAACTCGAAGACGACATCTGAGGGCGCCATCGATACACCTGCACTGCAAACAGGGCTCGGCCGTTGCTACAGACGTGCCCTCCTGGTACCTGCGACCCTCGTACCTGCACGCTGCAACAAATACTCCTGATATGTTAGACAAAGCTGACTCGTAACAAAATTGTAGCGGGCATGGTTATATTTTCTTAGACTTAGTTCGAAATTTTCTTAGAGATAAGAAGAGCGTTGGTTGCGATAGTAACGCGTCGGAAGTCTGACTGAACGTATGCAGCAAGATACAGAGTGGACGATTTATCCAAAGACATTGAAAATTGATAACCTCGTTCGAATGGTGAAAACGCTAGGAAATGAAGGAAATAGAATTTTGCAAATTTTCCACCTCGTATAAAAAAAATATCTCGAGGATTCTTTCAAATCCTTCGATGGAAGAAGACCCAGTTCCGGAGATATTTTAGTGTCCTTAAATAAATCGTCCACCCTATGTGATACAATTTTTCCATTGAGTCTAATTTTCAAAAACATCCCTGCAACACCCCTGCACTCCTTGTCAATTAATTTAAGCGTGTTAAACGGTTCGATTGTCTCCCTATAGACAGTTTTCACACCGATTGTAGAAAGCACTCTAAAAAAAAAAAGGTTTCCATTGAAACGATCGAAAAATACACCGTCGGAGGCAGCTTCATCGCAATTCCGTGCATCGGTGCATCGTCATTTCGAGCGCAAAAATCGGCGATATCCTGGCCGGGAAAATGTCCGATGGGAATATCGCGAATTAGGTGTTATTCCGCGATCGCGTTGTCCCCCGTCGTGTATTACAACTATTACAACTTGTTCCGCAGTGATTCTATTGTATTTAATTCCGCGCCGTTCCAGCGGTGAAATCGATTTTAAAGCGCCCAGCGAGATTTCGTGTTAATGTTCGAGCAATTTTCGCGAGAAATTCTGAATCCTGAAATAGAAACAATTAAAAAATATTCTCGCGGTGTTTGCCAGGTTCGAGTGCGTTGCTTGGATTTCTGTCTAAGGACGAGACATAATAAAGTATAAATATATACAGTCGGAAAAATTTATTTGGAAACGTCGAACTATTCCTTTAATTTAAATAAATTTCTTCGGTAGACGAAGAGAGTACGAGTGCTCGTGAAACTGACTGCATTTTACTTTGTTCTTATTCTGTTACGTTAAATTTGACTCGAGTGTCGGTTAATTCGTGTAGATAAATAAAATAGTCGGTATTCCATGGATTAAATATCGAAAAGCTATTGGAATCGTTCGCGCAGGTGGAATATTCTCTATGAATTGATAACCTCGTTCGAATGGCGAAAATGCTAGAAAATAAAGGAAATAGAATTTTGCAAATTTTCCGCCTCGTATAACGCGTGATCCAATAGCAAATCGGATCAACGCTCTCGTGATGTCGCTCTCGTTGATTACGTAAATCGAGCGTATGACGAAAGTTTAGCGAAAGCTAATTAACGACTAACTGGATTGTTAATAATCGCGGCTTCCTCGTCGCTTCCTGGACAAATTTTCTGCTCGTTACTCGCGCATATTTACGGTTCGCGGATCATCAGATCGCTCGTACTCGTTACACGTAAACCGTGTCGGATCATGCTACTGAACGATGCGAACGTTAATGAATATCCTCTCCTTCTCGTCAATTTTTTTCACAAACTCTAATGACGACAACCTTTTCAAACTTTGCATATCGATTTCCACATGTTTCAAGAAAATATACATTTTTTAAAGAAATAAATATGTCGAAGAAAGTGCTTCAATTATAAAAAAAAAAAAAAAAACACGTGGAACATGTGTTTTTATATGATTCATTCTTATACATCAGCCGAAGATGATAAAACAAAAGTGTACGATCGTTTGATGCACCGAAGCAAACATTCGTTTCGAAAATATTTGCGGAGCCTTCGAAGCCTACGGTCAAAAAAGTAGAAGCCTGAGTGCAAGAGCGACTGACGAACTAATTATGCAAAACCGATCAAGAATATACCAACAATACTGAAATACATTTTCGTACCTACCTTCGAATACCTATCCTACAAACTGGAGGCGATTCGAATGAAAAGTATTAATTATACAGAACACGAGAAATAAAGTTCCGAGTGTTCTATTGAAATTGGAATTACCGAGTGATTGGTAAACACGAAACGGAAGAAGCACAGCGGAACGTAGCAAAAATATACAACGTCTTGATTCGAAAGTCTGGTTCAGGGGGTTGGGGGTTGTCCAGGGGAAAGCAACTGGAAAGCAAAACGGCTGAAAGGAATTACTCGCGCTACTTAGCCATAAAGGCGAACCCAGGGCGTCTGGAGGCAGAAAAGAGAAGAAAAGAGGCCCCCGACTACGGCTGGGGAAACTCGAACGAAACCAACTGGCGTTCCCCGGTCTCGGTGTTTTTCCTCGTCTCTTTGTTTTCCCTCGGTTTCGTTCCACGGTTCGGTGGCGGCACAGAAACACGCCGGCGAAAACGTTAACCGGGCGAAGGAGCTGCGCAAAATTCGAGAACCCCGGAAAAGCTAGAGTTTAGTATCACTTTTAGCGCACGCTGCCCCAGACAACGGGCATTGATGCTCGTTCCCTGGAAAAAGCCCAAGGAAACGATCAATTACGTCTATACTTATCCACTTTTCATCATTTTTTAGAACGCGTTCCTTGTACTTTAGCGCGCAATTGTTTGTTTGAGTCATAGTACAGTCAGGAACGTGTCACGGAAAGGATTTGTCCCAAAAAAAAATATACATATCGAGTTGCTAAATCGTTGCATCGCCCTTCCATCCCTCCAAATATTCATTTCATTCGTCGCCTTCCGGACCACAATTTCCCCCAGTAGAAATGTCCCAAGCAAGGATGAAAGGAGGACGGAAAACTAAGTTTCCCCGAAAACTTGCTTTTAGAGAGGAAGACCAGCTACGAGGGTGTCCTTGTCCCTTAAACTTGACTCGACTAGCGAAGAAATACGCGCGTCAGGCTGTTCCAGGACCTCGCAAAGTTTCATCAAAATAGGCGCCGACCACTTGGCTAATGCTTCTCGCGAGACACGCCGAGAAGAAAATGGTCGAAGACAGGGGATCCCTCGGTAATGGGGAAAATAGGATTTAAAGGAAACGGGAGTGGTCGGGGAGGTGAGGCTGAAGGAAAATAAGTATTTACGCGAGCCGCGAAACGCTCGTGTGTTTATGGAGATGAGATTACCGGGTACACTGTGTAAAGTAACGCGAACTGTGAGTAATGACGACGGTCGGGGGGAAGCTGTGTATATAGGATAAGGAAACTTTCGGTTTGATGCCGAATGCACGGTACGAAGTAATGAAACATTTGGGATTATAAATGCAGACCAAACCGTTCCGTGCATCGGAATAATAAAATCAAATGGAAATGTGTATTTTTCAGGGAAAATACAATGATTTGATCCTAGACAATCATTTGGAGCGAGGCACTCGAATAAAAAGTAAATAGAAGCACCAGAAGTGGTGGACGTCCCTCGTCTGGCTATGGTCAGACATATCTACTTCTAGCGTAACTTTCTTCTGGGTTAAATTACCAGACCTTACTTTGGCTTTTCAAGCCTATCTTGAAAAAAGACTTACATTGAATTAATTTAGTTCGAAATAATATCGTGTGAAATAACTGATAAACTCGTTTCTCTTACATATCCTCGTCGATTTGTTCAATAAAATTCCCTCGGTGCCCTTCGATCCCAGAATAAAAAATTCTGCTCGGAGCACTAAATATTCGACATCCGGACGCACTTCGACCGGGCAGCTCCGGTTATTTCGAGAAAATATGAACGACATTCGCGCACGAGCAGCTAGGCAAATACGCCCCCGCCGCGAAATTAACGTCGAAAAATAATGAGCCCTCCGGGGCACTTCTTGCGTGCTTCATGTACCCAGGCACGAGCACGAAGTTGACACAACGGGGAGAATTAGGTTGTCGTTAGTCGAGGGGAACGCGAGCGCGACGGTGGAAAAGGTGGTCCGCTGTTGGCAAAAGACGCTCGTACGTGGACGAGACCGAGGTGGCTAATGGCGCAAAACCGGATGAAGCCGAGGGAACGGGAGTTGGCGGTCGATCTTAGAAAGAAGATTTTAATCCCGTGCGGGGAGAAAGAGAGGAGCACGTTCACCGGCAACTTTGTTAGGGAGTCGAGCGGTGCGGCGTTGGTCGTTAATGCGAGTGAAACAAATCGTCGAGCGTGTCCGAAGAAGTGGACCGTCAAATGCAACTTGCTAGGAGGTTGGAATCTTTGTATCCTCGGACAGAACAACATCTCGCGTTCTCCGGAAAGTTGAGTCGGAATGGTAGAGAGAGAGATGGAAGGTGGCTTTCTGGAGAGGAAGGGAAGTCGACTATGTTTTTGGAGAGAAAGGAGAATCGCTTGGAGAAAAGATGTGTTACGAGTCTTGGGTGTTTATTGTTGATTATCAATGTGAGTAATGCACCAATAGTTCAAGTGCTCGCCGTTCGCACAGCATTCTCGTACGATAAATTGCATCCTATACCATTCCATGTACCATTCCATTCCATACTACGCAAATAAAAATAGTTTTCCATAATCTTGAAAGCTTCCTTCAATCGCGATATTTGAACGCGAGTTCTCTCCGCGCGTAACATTAGGTCCGCGATTGCAGTAAATTTGTTTGTCTGAATTCGTGCTACGGGGAAAGCGTTAAGATGAATTTTCATTCGATTTAACTCGAAAGTTACGCATTCTTGACGATCGGGGGAGTTTCAGTTTCCAAAGATCATTAGGAAGTACGTCAGTAACCACCGAAGTTGAACGTTTCCGCCGCAGTTTCCCGAAGATCGGAGTTTAACAACCCCCTACGACTGTCTACTTTGACCCCGAAGAAGACCTCGATAAAGCGCGAGAGCCGACCGCTAAGTTACAAGGTTTACTTCTTGAAGAGCGAGTTTCGTGTCCTTCGGGGGAAAGTCACTTTCCTCGTGGAACACTTTCTACGAGCGAAAGATTTAACGCCCGAATTAAAATTTTATATTTCCTGAGGAACGAGGTCCCGTGTCCTTCGAGTACTCGTGTTCATTGCACTCTTTTACTAAGTATCGTACGAGTGCTATCAAAGAACGAGTTTGAC